ATCCCCGTCCCCCACTATAAAGCAACTTAATTCCTTTTGAATTCCAAATAACAGAATAATCCACATTCTTATTCCTGCTTTTGCTTCAATACTAATTTGGCAAAGGTTCCTGGAGTCCCTATACTGCTGAAATCCGTACGCAAGGAGAAAATGCAGGCAAGGAATCTGCATTATATTCCCCCACTTTCCGACGACCTGGTTAAGTGTGGAGTTGCTTTGCATGTTAATGCTCTTAAAAACAATTCAAGGAAAGGTCAAGATTTGGTCTGTAATAGTCAGTGCAGTGTCAGACAACAGCAGAAAGTTAAGGGTTTTTTTTATTTAACACTAGGACAAACTCCATATCCCAAAGAATATTGTTCAGAAGTGAAGTCTTTGTTCCTTTTATTTTTCCTTTTTGAAAAAGACAATCTACTGCTCTCTCCCCGTGTGATTTCACTGACAAGGGAGTTATTTCCCTCAGCACTGTGTCGTTGTTTATTAAGAATAGCTTAACTCAAGTTTTAAGATGTGTGACTCCCATGTGCACTTACTTCGAAGATGCCACCTTTTGTTCTGTTTTCATTAGATTCCAACTCTAAAAGCCTATATCCGTTACATTTTGTAGCTTATCCTTTAATTTTCATAAAGATAGACGGTACACCTAGAGCCCTGAATCTCAAATAAGTCTAAATTTAAATTTAAAAAATGCCAAAAGAAAACCCAAAGAGTGCAGAATAGAAACTTAAAATTGCAACTATCCCAGTCCCTATAAACCAGTGGGCAGCCTGTACTCCAGAACAATTTTCAGGAAGCTGCGCGGCTTTCCCCAAAGACTCACATCAAAAATGTTAGAGGAAAAGTAAACAAATAGCCAAATGGCCTCCTAATTTCTTTTGCATACTTTACCAAATCTGAGATGCTTTTCAGCCTCACTGTCATGACAGGAAAATATACTGTGCTCTATAAAGAGATTATATGCTGCTTTATAAAGCTCTAAAATATTTTTTACTTCTGTGACAAGTTTGATTTATTAGAGTTTATTCCTCCTGGTTTTGCCTTCCTAGTAAAGAAATAAAAGTTTAGGATAAAAGGAGCTGTGAAGAAATTGTCCCTATGAATGAGACTGAGTTTGCTATAGCAGTAAGAGACCTGAATTTGAATATTCGACATACTCCGGAAGATGCCGGTCGAAGATAGGTGCATGTGCTTTGGTGACCTATTCAAAGGCTTTCTTTGAAATACTCTCCCGGTTGTTTTTCATAGCAGGGCATGAACCATGATGAAATCACTAAATTTGTGTTCCCTTGCTTTTGTTTAAAAAAAATTACTGCCATCCCTTAAAAGCTTGTTTTCCTTGTTGATTAAGCAGCAGTCAATTTTCCCTTTTCAAACAACCACTGAGCAACAGCCTCCCGACCCCCTCAGATATTCGGGCTGCCGGCAAATACTAAAACCTCGGTGACAAACTGCAAAAAAGCTCGACCTTTCCCCTTGTCCGGTGACCCCCTGTTCGATTTGTACTTTAGCTAACCAATACCTGATTAGATAATGCTCGACTCTAGACCCACAAAATGAGATAAAATTCAAATTTATGGCTTTTCATTTATACTGGTCTACAGCACTCTAATCATGACCCAAGCACAACTATATCACAACAAATTCTCTTTGTCCCAGGGTGTGTTTTATGGCTGAAGTATATAAATGGACACAATAGACATTGTTTTCTTGGACTTGCTCTGACAAAATTCTGCGCCGATGCCATAGGGAGTCTTGCTATAGGGGAACGTAGGAACAGGCCCCGTGAAATTCCTTAGCCTTCTGTAGCAAATTTTTCTTTATCATCAACTGCCTGGCTGCAAAATTTAACAGCAGCAGTTTCTCCAGCTTCCACTTCTCTCCCAGCCACTACAGGCTAATCCTAGTATCAACTCAGATCAATGTCAGTCACAAAAAAGTCAGAAGTATTCCACAGCTGGAAATACCCAAAACTATGACAACCTTTTGCACGGGAATAAAAATGTCCTTTCCAAATACGTAGTTACAGTCCAAATGTGTGTGTAGCTATAAACTCTTTCCTGCAATGTGCATGTAGGGTTTTGGTTTGAAATTTTCTAGTTTAAGACTCTAGACTACCCAGCAATCCTAAACAATTGCAAAAAAGCAGCAAAGCTTTCATAGCAAAATTAGCAATATATACAGCATCAGAAAACAGCTGAGGAAGATGCTCAGCTTTCCTTCCAAAAGTATTTTAATATGTTTATGCTAATTATTTTCTTGAAAAGAGATTCCTCCTTCATCATCTTTGAGAGTCCAGCACCATTGTACATTCAGCGTTTCACTTTAAACTCAGAAAAATGCAGATAAAATGGAACAATTGATTTTTCCAATAATTTAATCATCCTCTCTGTAGCCACGGGGGACCCTATTCAAAAGAACTAAATAAGTACACAAGCATTAGCTGTGTTGCAACCCCATTATGTATTTCTCCAAGCAATGCACATGTGAGGTGAAGAAACAACTAAGCCAAGACACAATAAAATGTTTTCTTTGGCCTGTGGCACCAGTGAGCAGTTTGAGCAGACTGAGACATCTCACCTTTTGAAGCCGCCAGACACCACTGACCTCTATAGCATCATGAATTATTCTATGAATTACAGATAATCAAACACAAGAGAATATGATGACAGTATCCACATCAGTACAATTCACTCAGCAAGCAAGTGTCATTGTGGAAAGACAGATTTTAAAACCTCTCATACTACAAAGCCACTTAAATCCACAGTCAATACCACACAGAAGCTCTGGTTCCATCCTTCCTCCATTTAAATGTAATAATGGAATTTCACCTTGATATCAGCAACAGCAGACTGAATTCCCCATTTTTTAACTGACTTCTTGGCATCTGCCAGGACAAGTGCCCTGTTTCACAAAAGTGCCCGTTCAGGTAGAAAAAGTGACGTCAGAAAAGCTTGAATTCTGTACTTAAGAAGACTGTACTTAAACTTTAATAAATGACACCTTTCCCTCGATATCCCACGCTTCCTTTGACACTACCTGAGCCCACAGACCAGTAACATCTTCTTTCTCCCTTTTTTTATCCCAAGGTACATGTCCAACGAAGTGGTGGTTTCCAGAGCAGCATGATGATGAGGGTCTGGGCTGGGATGGGCACTAGTAAGGTCTTCTCCAGCACTACCAGGTCCCCCCACATCTGTTCTTTAGCCTTAACCTTCACTACGTGCCGTTTTACTCATTGTGTAAACTCTGGTAACCAGCATTTCTTCGTCTTCTTTCAATTACAATAAAAGTACTTAACCCACTTCTTGGAAAAATATTCTGTTTCAAGCTCCCCTGAGCACTGTAGAGTACTTTTAGATGAGTGGCCAAATTGCAGAGGGACTCAACTGTTGATTTTGTGTGATTTTGCTCCAACACTTTTCAATACCTTCTCCCCAGCTGTCCCAAATACATAACACTGTTCAAATGGCATGAGTCCTGCAGCTTGAAAGGGATTCAATCTGCCAGTTGGGCTTCCAGCACTATCAAAATACGCATTTCTTGTATGGATTTCATAGACCCCCAAATCCTAAACATCTTAAGCAGAAAAAACAGTCTCTAATATCGCAGCATATTATCAGCATTTAAGGGTGTGAAAATCAAGACGGGTTTCCCTCGGTTTTAGTGGTGTTATCCTACCCTACACCACTTGAGGATCCATTCTAAAATATCCTAATTTTCTAATATGTTAAACAGCAAGTGCAACCGTGTCTCAGCAGTTTTGCTCCAGTTTCTGTTATCAATATCTGAGCTTAATTGTGGTGTGGTTAAAGGTCAGATTTTATGGTTTCCTGGTGCCTTTTTCAAATAATAAAGATTTCTCATCAGCAATTATATTGCATCAGGGTCTGTTAACTCGATAGAGTGTTGCCAAGTCTATAATTTCTCCTGACACTATTTTGTCATATTGTCACAGGTCTCAGAAGAGTTTAAACAACTGGATGGAAAGTTTGTAATGACCTCACTGAGTACTTATGGACAGTTAAGAGCAAATTGAACCTCTATTTTCCACCATATCTGCAAGGCTCTGCTCCGCAGCAAAACTCCATTTTTCCTGGGAAAACGAACCTCCCATTTCCCCAGAGGTCAGTCGTGCCCCTGGAGAGCCATGCAAACTCTGCACTTCTCCGCTTATCAGAAACCAAAGGAAACGTACAGATGGAAAGTTGAGATTACACTCTGGTTCTACAGCACATTGTTAAAACTATGAATAAAACCAGGCAAGAACATTTGTTACACCATAACACAACTGGCAACGTGCACCACTTGAGGTCTAAAGCCCTGACCTGACCACAGACCTGCAGCTCAGCCAGCTCCGTGATGGTATCACAGTGAGGAAAATGCGTTACCACCGAAAGGCAGAGAAGGCAAGAGGCAACCACCGGACTCGTCAAAGGAGGCCTTGAGCTCCATCAGGAAATCAACATTTCTCAGAGCATCTACAGACCTCATACGAGCCACATCATCCCCACGTGTGCTGGCTTTGACACCAGCATCCAAACATACTTCATTAAATGCATGGCAAAATCGCCATTTAGTTAAATAGAAGCAGTATCAAAACCCCAGCCTTCAAAATCCCTGAGTAGCACAAGGTTCTGCAACAGCAATTTTTAGCCACGTAGCCTACAGACATACTGCAAGACTGTCCAAGAGCAGACTAAAAATGGTACAGAAACGTTCCAACAACTCAACTTCTTCCCCTCTTTCCCCAAAAGAGTCATCACCTGCCAGTATCCACCTAGACAGATTTCATGCATGAAAAGAAACAATAATGCCTGCCTTTTTTCTTTTTTAATTTACACTTGTTTCCATCCAGGAAGCTCTGAAAGGCCACTAAGCAGTCTTCCTGCACACAAATAATCCCTGACTGCTGCAGAATAGGACTCAAATTCTGCAAATACTTCTGTGTTTATAGACACGCAAGAGAGTTCAACAGACCGAAAGAATGTACAGTGTCTTACCTCCCAACCGTAACTGGGGTCTTTAAGGTGTGGTCGCTGCTCTCCTACAAAAGGGCCAAATTTTTCCCCTGCTTCAATCTTCCTTTTGGTCCATATCCCTAATCCTGCTCCAGGAATGTTGGATTCTCGGAGCTCAAACTCTGAAGGAATGGGAATATCATCGGGAATGTATATCGGAGCCTTGTAAGGAGAGCTCTCCTTTGGTGTGAAAGCTTCACTGGAGGTCGCTGGAGAAGATGGCTCTTGAATGCTGAGGGTTGTTGGACACTGGACGTTTGCAGCCTCTCCGTCAGCTTCTGGCGCTTCCTCCAAAGGAAGTTCAGGAAAGCTTTCATACAAACATTCATCACCTGGAAAATAAATCCAAACAGTAGGATTTGAAGTATCCTGACAGATTTTGCACATGAAACCCTTTCAGCCAGGCCATGAAATGGAGAGGACAGTTTGGTAGGCGGGCAGCACCTTCATCAATCACGAATCCTGCAGCAGAACTTCACCCTGGAAGGAGCTGAGCCTTTTCCCTATTGTAGGCCTAGGGGTAGACAGTGTTTCTCAATATTCCTGACATCACAAGTGGTTTACATCATTGAACACAAGCGATGGAATTACATACAGATGTATATGCAGGCACACCCTATTGTCCAATCTGGTCCGGATATAGCGCTTTGCATTGCATACTCTTTGAAATTACAATTGAAAGCCAGCATTATATGTTATAACTGAAATCTAAGCGAAGTGAAAAGCAGGAAAGCTTTACTGGTCTTTCAGAGAGACAGACTGAACCTAAAGTAGCCAAAATTAAGTTTGATGGCCTCCAATTAGTCTTTGAAGGAAAAGATCCAGCCTACCACACAACTCTTGGCAAGAACTTCAGCTGATGTAAATTAGCGTCTTACCATTGATCTCCAAGAAACTCAATGGTCTAAAATAAGTTCAGGATCCAAACAGCACCTTATAGAAAACATGAACCTTCTCCTCTTACAGTTGCAAAAAAACCTGGGACAGATCCAAAACACATTAAAAAAAAAAAACACAACACCAAAACACACAACACAAACCTTCATCTCTGGGGCCTGGCCAGCAAAGAAAAAAAAAAAAAAGAAAAAAAGAAAATCTCACTATTTTTGACAGCTCAAAATGTAAGGCTGATTGTAAATTTTTTTTAGTCAAAAAAACTCTGAGTGACTTCAGCAGGGGCTTTAGCTGCAGCAGCAATACAGTACTTACAACCCAGTAACACATTCAAGAGGAACAAAAAGACAAACTAACCAAAAAAATTTCTTATTTATTTACATTCATTTAACTTTGTTAATGTTACCATACTTTTCCTACACATCAGAACTCATTGTACTTGATTCTAACCTAAATAGGAGGCGAGAATACTATTCCCCAAGGAATGAAGTTGAGAGGTCGGGTATGTAAGATCTGAGCATGAGGATATTTGCATAATATGGTTGGCCCAGAAATTAAAGTGTTACGCTGGGCTTGGCATTGAGAATGACTCCGTTTCAGTGAAGAAACAGGAAACTTTAAAATGTTCTTTCAATTTCTTGCTCATTTAAGAAACTATCCATGGTAGATTAGCACCGTATGCCTTTTCCACTGAAAACTGGTCATAGCCCATTATCTCCCACATCTTTGTTACATATTATCTCACAGTTTTATATCTGTACTTTCATGCTTCTGGTACTGCCTAAGACAAACACTGGGACATAACAAATCATTTGAATAGATTGCTCCCATCACATGACTGGCAAACTAGATTCTTCATCTGTGAGCAATTTATTCACAGCCATGAACTGTTTTTCTTTCTTTTATGTGGCACTGGCTATGACCTCATACATGTCACAAGAAAGTTCAGCTACCCGTTCCCTCTGCCTCTGGTTTGGCAGACTCTCCCCGCACCTTAACGATGAACCCAATATTGATTAGTTTGTCACTTTTCTAATACCTGGCGCTCCGAGAAGTAGAAAGTCTCATCTGACTCTACCATTTAGCTGTGAAGGACACACAGAGGGATTTTCCATCGCTTATGCTTCAGAAATCCTGCCTGTCATAGCTCAGTAGTGCCGAGTTTGGTAAAGATGCTCGAGGGGTCATGAAAGTGCCAGTGCAGAGAGCTTGCTGTGTGCCTAGCACCTCTAACCCCGTGGCCGTACTTTCCTGCCCACAGCAAAACTCAACCTGTACTCCAAGGGACAGGAAAGAAGGTATGAAAAGGGTAGAGACACAGCTCCACCTGGGTGCCACCATTGACTTTGTCCCGTACCAAAACAACCACATTAGCAGCCATCTCTGTTACACCATGGCATGGCTGCTGCCCCCAAACATGGCTCTACTCCAGTATGGTGGGATGGGTGAGAGAGATTGGTCCATGCCTCCAGAGCATCCCCAAAACTCTGATGCTCTCCCTGACTTCATGGGCCAGCAGCAATGCTCCATCTACCCAGGGCAGGCTCGCTCATGTTCAGATATCTTCCCCCAACTGTTTAGACTGCACTCCTGCCTAAAAGACTTCAGCTGTTTTTGAAACAGGGGAAAAAAAAAACACTAACCCACGTATACACATGGGGTGCAGAAAAAGAAATCATACAAGGAAAGTGATCTGGATGATGATAAGCACATGGCTCACTGGAAGCAGGGGCTGAAAAACTTCAGGCATCTAAATCCCACTGATTTTCCATGACAGCTGGGTGCCTGACACTCAGGCTCCTTAAAAAGCCTATCTCACAGAGTCACTGCTATTGTCCCTGTCCTACCAAGCAGTGCCCCATAAAACCAAGGCTCTCCCTGTGTCCCATGGCCATGCTCGACTCTCCTCCACCAAACAACGAAGCAGGTCAACCAAATCATATAAGTCACGGCAAGTAATGACCTGCTCTGTGCCTTTCCCCAAAAGGCCACCTTCCTCGGCCCCACTTGCCAGCAGTGCCTGCCCATGAGCCAGCACAAGCTGAGCCTTAAACATTTAGCAAGCACGGTTTTACAGATGTTTCTTGTCCCCCAGGGACAGTCCAGTTTAATTTCTCTCTTGCAGACTCAAAGGCCTCGGTTATACTTATCTCAGTCATTCTGGATACACTCGTTTTTTAGCCATATAGGGTCAAACCTGCAGCTGATAAATTGGCCTCTGGAAGCCTGGCAGGGAGACAAGTCCGTTTGCTGGGTCTATTGTGCCTCCTTTGATTTCCAGCAGCCACACCCGACGTTGTCGTTAAACACGGGCTTTCAGTTTGAAAGGTCTGGAAAATATAATACGACTATACGCCCCAAAGCCCTAACAGTGTGGGTAAAACGGATTACTGAAATATTATTCTGCCTGAAATAGCAATGTATTCTAGCAAAAAGATATTTTAAAACCTCAAAATAAAAAAGAAGTTGAATTATGACTGACCAAGAGATGGGAAGACTATTAAGACATATTTGTGAAATTAACGATGGAAGAAGCTGTATTAAATTCAATATACACGAACCAAGGATCTGGTCTTCATTTTCAAAGGGTGTGGGACTATTCCCCTTAAAATTTACACCCACACGGATTGGAGAGATTTCCAGCAAAACCATGGGATATTGACTGATATAAAATCTTCGTAAGGTTAGAATTAGACCCAGGGACTGTGCTGATAAGCGTCATTTTCTCAGCAAGCTACAAATCATTCGCACAGATAGCACTGCAGTTTTGAAATTCAAGATGGCTTCTTTAAAGTCCAATAATTATCCCCACTAGAAATGGGATGAAATAAAAATCGAGGCCCCTGATAAGGGAACAGATGAGATCAGGTAATGTGGAAGCTTAGATATTAGCCTCCATAAAATTCTTCACCGCTATTTTAGAATAAAAACATGAGCAAGCTTCAAAGGAAACACAGGAGGAAAGGTTAATTGCTACTAAAAGACCAGGGTGGACACCTGCGTTTGCACTTTTGACACAACCTTGCATGCCAGCAGGAAAGAGTCCACGTGGCTGCGTGCTGGGGATGTGCCTGATGAGAGCGGGAGAGCGACGTGCCAAATCTACCGCCATAACTCTGGGGCCTGGGGTCATTTTGAGGTCGAGAGGGCTTCTGTGCACGGCTGGGAGGAGGAGAGGACTTCCTTCCATTCGGATGTTTCTTAGCAGTTCAGCACACTCTTCCTTTCCAAGAGCAATTAGGTAGGAAGCACTAACGACTGAGGGATGCAAAGGTGGCTGAACACAACCCAAACCACTATCCACTGCCTATGATGACTAGTGAGGCAAAAGCGTACCATTTTCGAAAGCACACTGGGATGTACGTTCAATGAAATCATGCCTTTCTGCAGCTGAAATGCCACACGATGGCATCTCACGTCAAGGGTACATGCTAGCCTGTTACACGTATCGGCGTTTCAGGGCAGTCTTCAACTCAAAGTTCACACAAAGTACTCCAAGGACCAAGTCTGTATCCGGATCTGCAGACCCAAATCCATGCCTAACAAACAGAAACATATCCACACAGACTATCCATTCTCCCTTTCTTCACGCAATTTATGCCTGACAATATACATTCCCAAAGTGACTATTGACTGATAAACTCTCTAGCACCTCAGTCTCTCAGTCTGTTTCTCTGCACTTGAAGTCATGCACGTGGCCACCAGTGACTTAATCACAAGCTGGGTGGCCGATTACTCCAGATGAAAGAGGTAGGCTGGAAGCAAAAGCATCTAGAGAGCCTACTTCAGAAGTGTTCCTAATGCCATCATCTTCTGAGCAGAATAAAGTAAGAACTGAGATAAATGTGGAAGTGGCTCTTTGCAATGAGAAGATACACACAGGTTCATGCCTCCAGCTTCTCAAAGTTGAGAAAGATGACCCCTAGCCCCAAAAAGCAGACAGTAGGACCACCTGACTCTGTTCGACGGCAGAAGTCCATCATATATCAAGAGCTTTGAACTCCACTAGCTCTGTTGATCATGCCTGATACAAGCCTTTGGCAAGGACGCATTAGTTAAGGCTTTAGGAGAACATAGTAGGGTCAGATGAATTAGTCCCTTCTCCTGCATAAGGCGAGGGTGGACCTGAATGTACCACAAAGCCCTGAATCGGATCCTTGAAAGAGATCAGGGAGCATTTGTGTTTGTTTGACCTAGCATTTCTATTCAGCGCTGAGGAAATCAGCGTGGGGTATTTGCAGGGATATCTGAAAAGGAGGCAGGCATTTCCTGATGCATACAAATGGGACACCTTTATCTGAATTTCTGTTTGAACAAGTATTAAAGAAGAAAAACTGTTACAGGCAGGGACTGATTGATTACAAAATATATCCACGTGGGTGTAGAACACAGGAGATCAGGAAAAGCAGAAAATTAAGAGAAGAAAACCCATTAGTTTCAAGAGGAGCACATAGCCGGTGGGGAACTAAATGGGAGCCACCTGACAGTCCCACACCAGCTAGGCATGGCTCAGAGGGGGCCACTTTTACGTCCTCTAGAGAAACAGCAGAGAAGGATCCTTAGGCTTTAGAAACATGCAGAGATTGGGTTACTATCTCCAGGCACAGAAGAGACTCCAGCCAACAGCTACATCACTGTACTTGAACATTTTATCAGTTAACATACCTGAAAATTGTTTGTGCTCCTCCCTATCCACAGAACTCTTCCATGGACCTGGACCTAGTGACAATTATTTCTTATTATTTGTATTGTAACACAGGTGGGGGGGCCCAGGCAGGACCCCATTGTGAAAAGCATCAGACCGACCTAATCAAATGAGATTAGTAATTCCCACTTAGGTAAAAATCATAAAACTAACAGGGGAGAGAAAAACTGTTTTACAAATAGAAAGTTTGGTTGTACAACAAAAGAGATTACAAACAACTTTAGAGATAAACACGGGGCTTGAAGAAGTCTTGAATCGTTACTTCAGTTACCAAGGAAAAATACTTTCACAAACATCAGCCTTCAAATGCATGGGTATTTTGCCTTAGTTGTATTACTCAATCTTAACACAAGCATGAGAAAACCAAAGCTGTCCTGAACACACTCAAAAGGTCCAATCCTGAAAACCATACTCATGGATCAAGAGCAAGGGGAACCAAAGCACCCGTGCAGCGGTCCCAAAGGCTGGATTCTAATTTCTCTTGCACTACCCTTAAATCCAAAGTAATTACTTTAGACTTCCACCAAGGAATAAATGAGATCTGTGTCTGTCCTGGAGTTAGCCAAAGTCACTCGAATTTCTTCAGACTGATGCTAATGTAACAAAATGAGAGGGAAATGTGGTGCCCAGATTTCAGCTTTCCCTTCGTGCTCATGAAGCTGGAGATCGCAGAGGGCATTCGCGCGATACACTCGGCAAAGCCTCCCCGCGCCGCAGCACCGAGCAAACCCTTCTGCGGCATCGGCAGAAGAGGGAGTTGTAGGAAAAGCTGCGCAGACAAAGGCAGGAGAAAAAGGCAGTTCAAGGCAGCCTGAGCACAGCGTGCTTTGGGGCTGAAGTACAGAAATCATCAACTTCTCATGGTGCTGCAGTATCGATGTGAAATGGAAAAGGAGCTCTGTTTGGAGCACCACTGCAGCACTCCGTGCAAAGGGCTTAGGGCTGCTGGTAGCTTCTGTCTGAGCCTCATGGCAAGAGGCACGTCAGTAACAACAGTGCAGACAATTCAGAAGAAAAATTAAAAACCTTCCTAGCATAGGAAGAAGGTTTTGCTTCTTAAATTATTGCGTCTGCAGAAAATAACCCTGAAACAAGAGGCTCATACTGGAGGCAAAAGTGAATTCCTGATGCTAGGATGAGCACCAAGCACTGAGCGCTTGGGGGAAATCCTTTCGCAGGCGACCGAGATGCAAAGTTGCACACACTGGAGAGCATCAGGCCTTTGAGAGAGAATGATTTCAGCATTACCAAGCGTTGGTACTAGACCGACAAAGTCATAACGTAGTAGCTGCGTAGGGACCTGCCCGTCGTCTCTGGCAATTCTCACTATCAGCCCCTACAATAACTGGTAGCGTTTGGTGCTCTGTCTAGTGTCATTCATGTCTAATTGAGTAGCACAGTCAAAAGCATCTGATGTGGACCAGATGCTGGCTTTTAATTAGGGTCCAGCACTGAGAGACTACAGGTCAAATTCTACTTTCATTTGCACAGGAGCCGCTCTCCTTGATGTCGGGGGAAGTTGCACCTGTGTAACTGAAAAACAAAATTTGGCTGCTTGTGTTCCTGTGCACTTTCCATATAAATCACTGAATTACATGCAGCAACAAAGAATTATAAACGTTGGCTGGCACGCTCTGAATTTATTTACAAGTTAAGTCTAATTTTATTTATAGTTC